CTGGGTTCGAGCCCCAGCTCTGCTACTGTCCTGTGTCTGTGGGTGGACAGGGTGTTCCCTTCTCCAGGCCTCAGTCTCCTTCTCTGCCAAAGGAGGCTAAATAGGACGTGCCCTTTCTGGCTCAGAACTGAGGCAAGGAGCTTGCAAATATCCAGTGGACCCCAGGAATGTATCAGGCCTCACCATCTGTGGCAGATAAGACGTCGTCCTTTCATGCGAAGGCCTTGCAGTCCCCTGGGGAGGTGGGGTTTTAAGAGGAGTGCAGGGTCACTTACGGAATAACAATGCTGGCTGACATGCTTGATGGCTTACTGTGTACCAGACAGTTTTAAACACTTTACCTGAGTTGACTTATTTATTCCTCTCCACAACCCCATTTTACAAATGAGAAAACTACGGCTTAAATAACTTGCTAAAAGTCACAAGGTAACTTGCTGAAAGTTAAGTGTGTAAGAGGGATGCTCAGAAAGGGCTCCATTCCATCCCTCCCCTCTGGTTTTCCGACTCCCTGCACAGTCCTCAACATGAACTCTGAACATGTTCATGAAACACCCCTAATGGTTTAGTGTCTGCTTTGAGCGGCTCCACCCCTGAGATATAGAGGGGGCCACAGAGGGTGGTCATCTGTCCCCACATCTTGCTCCTATTTAATCATCTCAGGAGCTGTCATTTATTGACAGAACACATACTGTTTGGCCAGATGTTTTACATATATTGTATTCAACCCTCACACTAGCCCTGGGAGAAGGCATTATTGTTCCCATTTTACAAATGAAGAGGCTGAGGCTCAGAGAGGTTAAGTAACTTGCCCAATGTCACCCAGCTAGTGGGTAGCAGAGCCAGAAATTAGTCCCAGATTGTCTGCTCTTTCCACCTCTCTCCAGCAGATCCCTTCTCCGCCCACTGTTCCTTTTTTCACGACGCCCTGCTTTAGGGTCATCTTAGCACTTAACACACTCTGAAACCATCCGTTCATTTCTGTTTCCTTGTTTGCCATCCATCTCCCCAACAATGCTCTTTCAGAGCTGGTCTTTGTTTGCTTTTCATGACAGTCTCTCTAGCATCCAGTGCAGCGGCCTGCTTTTGTTGTTTGATAGACTGAATGAAGGGATTATGTCATGGTGCCTCTTGACTCAGGCCCTGGCCTGGTTGCCTTTAGAATCAGAAAATGTTGCCGCTGGTAGTGACTTCCTGGGGTGTGTAGAGTGAGAGGCTGAGGCTCAGTGGGACAGAACCCCTTTGGGGGTCTGTAACTTGGTGGGATCTCCGTTGGTTTAGGGTCAGAGAGCAGTTCCAGCCATTCCAGGGGTGAGCAGAGTGGGGGAGGCTGACTCATGTTAACGAAACTCAGTGGGGGTGATGGGCAAATTGGAATGTCTATGCCAAGGGGGTCTGAGTGCTTTGCAATTAGGCAGCACTTGCACCAGAAGGCAAATCTGAACCGGGAAGAAGTCAGCCATGGGAAGTGGCTCATCAAGTAGGACTCAGAGTAAAGGGAGTGGGTAATTGTAATGGTTAGTGTCAACTGAGGAAGCTGGATGACATCAACAGACAGTGTCATCAAAGGGGGGGTGGGGTGGATGCTCTTTTTTTTTTTATCTAATTGAAGTGTAAAGTGATATAGTAAAATCTTAAGCAAATACCTTGATGCATTTTTACATGTACATCCACCCGTGTAACAGCCGCTCAGATTAAGACTATGAACATTCCCATCTCACTAGATGGGATCCCACCTCCTCCCCAGAAACTTCTCTTGTGCCCTTCCCAGTAAATAATCGCCCACCTCCACCCAAGGGCAACCACTGTTTAGATCTCTGTTACTATAAGGTTGGTTTTTCCAGTCTCGAATTTCAAATGTATGAAATCATACACTATTTCCTCTTTTATGTCTGAGCTCTTTCCCTCAAATTGTGCTGTGAGATTCAACAGGGTTGTTGTGTCTATCTGTAGCTCTTTTTTTCACTTCTGTGTAATATTCCATTGTATGAATATGCCAGAATTTATTCATCCTTGCTGCTCTTGATGGACATGTGGGTTCTTTCTTGTTTTTAGCTATAATGAATAAAGCTGCTATGAATATTCTCGGACCTATTGTTTGGTTGTCATAGCACTAATTTCTATTGGGTACATACCCAGGAGTGGAATCCCTGCATCATGGGGTGTACACTTGTTTAGCCTGAGTAGGTGCTGCCAAAATCTCTTCCAAGGTGGTTCTACTATTTTAGAGTTGGATAGTCTTAGGAGTTAATGTCATTAAAGGGCGTTAGATAACCTGAATGATGTCATCACCCATGATGCCAGCTCATAGCCCAATGTCCAATGAGGAAGAGTACCTGTCAGGGGGCCAGAGGCCTGGTGTCTGCTGGCCAGGCCCCATCTTTTCTGGCTTGGGCTGGCCAGGCCCTGAGAAAGTTCAGCTCTCCAGCTCTTTTTCAGTATTCCTTATCAGTCACCAAAGTGTCTATCGTTACAACACTGCCTGGCTACGGGCAAGCCACAGTGTCCAAGATTACAGCTTATCTTCCATTGGAGCCTGTTAAATCAATGTCTTCCTTGTTGAGAGGCACCCCAGGCCTCTTGCAGACATCCATGCAGCCTTCTGGGCTTATCAACAACTGGCACACACATCACACATTGGTGGGTTGTTTCCTGAGGACCTTGGCCACAGATGGCTACCTTTTCCAAAGCATTTTCATTGCAGGGGTTGATAGTTCAGACCCATTCCCTAGATTCCAGGGTGCATCTTATACAGGGCCCACGTGCTGTTTATAAAATTCATAGAAAGTAGGAGTTGAAAAAAGACCTCGGAAGTCATCTAATACACTCCCCTCCTATAGGTGGGGAAACTGAGGCCCATGAGGTTTGACTTGCCCAAGGTCACACAGCTTGTCTCCTGACAGCTAGCCTAGGTTCATTCCTCCATGGCAGCCAGACTGGACACTCAGACTCTGGGTTGGTAGCAGCTGCCACTGTTTGCAGAACTCGCTGCTGTTTGCAGAGACTCTCATGGTTAAACACAGCCTACATCACCCCCAGATGGCTGCCCCACAAACTTCTTGATGTGTGGCCGGGCTGCCTCTGTGGACCCACCTCTGTAATGAGTTCATGACTGTCCCATCAGTGTTGGTTGGAGAGACTCTGTTAAGGTGCTATTTGTGGCAACAGTAGAACACATCAGAGTTCTACTCAGCACTTCTCACTTATCCTGTGTGATGATCACATCCACCCTTGTGAGTTCTCAGGGTTGGTAGCATTCTCTCCATCTTAGAGATGAGAAAATGAAGGTCTAAAAATCACTAATGTTTTACCCCGGGTAATATGGAATATAAGACTGCCCTATCAACCTGCAGGAAGCCCCCCTGTTTTCTGAGGGCTGGTTCAAAAGCTGCCTCTTCCATAGAGCCTTCTGTGATTCTTTCTCCAGCAGACAGTGACGTCTCTCTCCTCTCACCTCCTCTTTACCTTTCTTAACAATGCTTAGCAACTTCACCATGGCATATTCCTATAAATTCATTCATTCAGTGTTCACTGAGTACCTGCTATATTCAAGGCTTTGCGCTGGGGATACCAAGGTGTGAAGCTCATGGTCTGGTAGGCAGAAAGATAAGAATGCTGAATTTGGTAGACACGCAGATTGATGCTTTGCTGTTGCACTGGAAAAGTGATGGATACAGAAGGAGGGAGGATGTAGGTCAATCATGGAATGCTTCCCAGAGGAAATTACACATTTTATGAACAGGTTTTATCTCACCTCCCTGCACCTCTTTAGGGCAAGGACTGAGTTTTCACCCCCTTGTGTCCCTCGTGCCCTGGATTAGCTCTCCTGCCTCCACTCCCTCCACCCTCATATGTGAGCAGACAGGTTTGAAATTGGGGGCCTTGCCCTCCTTCCCAGAGCCCAAGTACTGGTGGGCTGGGGGCTGGTTTGCCTTCAGGACAGTGGGGCTAAGACACTGAAGGAGGGCCATGAACTTTTCTGGTTCAATCATTTTCCCTTTGGGTGCCCCAGCCATATCGCAGCTCTGGTCCCCCAGCCCTGGTCAGATCCCAGCCCTGGCCACTGTGAGAGAGGTTAGGGAGGATCCAAAGTCTTGTGAGAGCTCCCAGGCCCCCGGTGAGAACTTCTCTCACTTGGAGAGGAGGCTGGCATAGGTTCAGAGAGCAATGAGGGAAAAGTAACAGGCATTTGGGTGAGGGGAACGTGCAGTCCCCGGGGCTGGGGGCTATCTTAGTTAGGTTCGCTGAAGGTTGAGCCTTGGATGGTTGGTGGCAGTGAGTTCAGGCAAGTGATTTGCTGAGAAAGTGCTCTAAGGACCAACTGAAAGGGGACAAGGGAAACAGCCAGGTGAAAGTGTGGTTTAGTTGACTTAGTCTCAGCCTGTTCCCTGGGCTGGGGGTAGGGGGCCTCTGGAACATGAACAGAACCGCGGTCACCCCAGCTTGAGGCAAGGTGGCTGGGCTTTTGCATCATGTCCACCAGTCATTGGGGTGTGTATGTATTGGGGAAGGGATGACCTCCTATAGGCATGTCTGGTCCAGGCAGCTCCCACTGGTTGAGGGCAATTCCCTGGGGCAGGTGAGCTCTGCCTGCCTAGCAGCTAACACAGCAGCTGGGAATGGAGGCACCTGCCAGATACAGGGAGCTGGGCAGAGCACCAGCAGCCTGCACGACAGGGGGCTGCTAAGACATGATGCTCACTGGGTGATAACCACTCTGTACAGATTACAAAGCCCCCTCACAGTCCTCAGCTCATTGAAGAGCACAGATCTCTTGCAAGGGCCGTGGGATGGGGAGGAATTGCCCCTGTCCTGAGTCCCTGGCCCTTCTGCTCTGGCCCGGGGTCCTAGGAGCATTCTTTCCTGAGCTCGATGGGATCAGGCCTCTGAGGGATGTCATGGAGAAGTCTGGGCTGACCCCTCCCCCTGACACACTCAGGAGGGAGCCTTAGACCCCCTCTGGCCTTGGTGCCTCCTGTCTAAACCTCCCCATCTCCCGCCAGCTCCAGCCCAGGCTCAGATCGTGCACGCGGGCCAGGCGTGTGTGGTGAAAGAGGACAACATCAGTGAGCGCGTCTACACCATCCGGGAGGGGGACACCTTGGTGCTGCAGTGCCTTGTCACCGGGCACCCTCGGCCCCAGGTAAGCCCCTGGCCTGGCTTGAGCAGGCCCCTCCTGACCCACCCCGCTCTGGGATCAGAAGAGGCAGTGGGAGCTGTGACTAGAGACAGACAGCAGCAAGTCAACAGAAGACAGGAGCCTGGGGCTGGGGAAATAGCTGGAAAATAAACCCTGTGGGGAAGGGCTAGAGGCTGTGGGCTTACTCACCTGGAAATATTGATGACTGAGGGCAAAAACTGAATGTCAGTTGTTCAGTTCCGCTCCAATCCCTGTATCTGTTGAGCAGACGCTCTATCAGATATATACCTTCAACCACTGTTTGAAGGCAGACCACGCGCCAAGCACTATGCTCGTTACTTTCTCCAGTGTTTTCTCTTTGGAGCCTCGCAACCGTGCTGTGAGGAAGGCATCAGGGCCTCCATTTTAAGCTGAGGAAATCGAGGTTCAGAGAGGTTGGGTAAACTCCCAAGGTCCCCAGCTCTTGTGAGGGTGGGAGCAGAATTCAAATCCAGAACCAGCATTCTCTGTAACTTGGTACACTTCCTCCTACTTCAGGAGGCTTCCAGTAGGCAAGCCCCACACTTTTGACATTAAGAGACTCAAAGCTATTAGAAAGTAACAGAAGATGCGTATCTGGAAAATCTGGGTGAATTTTGTCCCAGACTAAGTGTTTGGTTCAGGCAGGAAGTATTGGCTGGTTATCACTGAGAGCTGACAGGTGGAGGCAGGAGGGTGGGCTGGAGGGATGGGTAAAATTTGCTGGCGAGCTGCGGTGACCTTTAAAAGCAACAGAAAAGGTTTTGATTGGATCCTAGGAAGCGCAGTGATTGCAAAATCCTTTTTTGGGGGGACAACTTTGGGAACAGGGACAGCTTTAGTAGGTTTGGTCTTGAGACAAGCAGATGGACAAGAAAACTCCTAAAGACTTTTTCAAACTGAAACTGTCATCACTGCTTCCTCCTTCTTAACGGTTGTTTTTTGGAAGTGTAAACAATGCTGCCAGTCTTCAGGTTGGTGTTTGCATAGGTGTGACTTTAGGCATGATGCTCCCTAAAGCCAGGGAGGCAGCTGGGCCACCTCTCCCTCAGGCTGCACTGGCCATCTGTGTGTGTCCCCTTGTGCATCACATGTAGGCGTCATTTGTGGCTGTGGCTGTGAGTCCATGCACCCATTTTCTATTTCCATTTGTAGTTTCATTATTCTTCCTGCTACCTAGGCTCAAACCCTTGGGCTCATATTTGACTCAGCCGCATATCATTCCCCACACCTAGCCAGGCTCTGAGGCCTTCCTTTTTACATCTCTTGCATGGGTCTCCTTCTATTCCTCATTACCCCTTGAGGTCAGACCTTTATTCTTGTCCCTTGGACCACTGCAGTAGACTCTAACTGGCCTCCCATTCTCCTACATCTCCCCCTCCAATCCATTCCTGCACCCTGCTCCCAGAATCATCATCCTTAGACCTGCTACATTATATCACTCCCCTGCTCAGAAACCTTCAATGACTCCACATTACCTACCAGACCCAGTTCAGGCTCATAGGGGTGGAACTAAAGACCCCCCCCCCACAATCCAGCCCCCACCTGCCTGTCCTGTCTGATCTCCCACGGCCATCCTCCTCACACCCCGTCTTCAGTGAACCTGTCCAAATACACCCTGTTCATTCTTGCTTTAGCCACTGCTCTTTACCTGTCCTGAAATGCCTTCTAGTGCCTTTTGCTCATTTCATTACAATAAATATTTATTGAGCACCTGCTATGTGCCAAGTACTGTGATGGGTCCTGAGGATACAGCTGCAGTTCCTGTTGTCATGGAGCATCCAGTCTAGGGGTGGAGCAAGTATCATCTCATAGCCCAGTTTGTTGTCAGATGGAAGAATGAGTGGGCATGGAATTCCCTACTCCAAACAAGTAGCAAGAGAGAGGGACTCTCTATGGTTAAAATGAAGAAGAAATCTATAGCGATGGTAGTGAGCAAAAGCTGAAGAAACTGGTACTTTGAGGGACTTAACTGCATACTCACCTCAGGGGTAGTTGTATTAATACACACATGGGGGGTAAGCGCTGAGGCCACAGGCCCATCTATGACTGGAGCTAGAACTGGACTTCTTACCTAAAGCTGGAAGCTTGATAAGAGCGATACCACCTATGAATGGGGACCAGAAGATCTCTGCCCCATAGCCCAGAGTCACAGCAGGGAGCAGACTTTCTGCTTCAGGGTGTGGGTGCAAACAGAGTCACCTATGAGGGAATAACCCTAATCCAGTCTGTGTCTTGCACTATCCAAGTGGTGAGGAGACCTTAAGCTGAGAAACTAATATAAAAACTGGGACTTCCCTGACGGTCCAGTGGTTAAGACTCTGTGCTTCAATGCAGCGGGTATGGGTTCGATCCCTGGTCAGGGAACTAAGATCCCACATGCCGCGGGGCATGGCCGAAAAATACCCAAACTGGTTGAAACCTGTGAATGCATATATCTTGGGCATAGGCAACCATAAAGCTACACCACAGACAGGCCTGTCAGTGCCCAAGTGGGAGTTCTGAGGAAGATAATTCCTACTGAATACAAGCCCATGGGGTGAAATTTTAAAGCATATCTAAAAATACAGTGCCAGGAGAGCCAGTCCATAGACCCAAATAATTGAACAATTCACATCTGAGAAAACAGAGATGATAGAGCAATATGAAAGGATCTTTAAAATAAATGTGTTTAAAATGTTTAAAGAGACAATGGAAGGAATAGAATCTATAAGACGGGAGATTATAAAACCTGATCAGTTAAGATATGGAAAAAAGCAAATAGAAATCCTAGAAATAAAAAATAATAGTCTTTAGAAAAATTTGGCCTCAATACCATAGAAGTAGCTAAAGAAGAAACTGGTGAACTGGATAATAGATCCAAGGAAATCAGCTACAATGCAGTCTGGAGAGGACAAAGGGATGGAAAATGTGAAAAGGAAGTTGGGAGACACGGAGGATAGAATGAGAAGCTGTAACAAATTTAGGCATTCTACAAGGACTAGAGAAAACTTAGAAGAGGCAACATTTAAAGAGATAAAGCCTGAGAATTTTGTAGAATTGAAGAATGGTATGAACTCTCAGATGGATAAACCAAGTCCTAAGCATTTGTAAACACACCCCATCTAGATAAATCATGGTAAAACTGCAAAATGTCAAGTACAAAAAGCAAAAACATTTTCATGGTCTTGTTCTTTTTCCAGAGCACCCTCTGATCTACGTCTGAATGTCCTGAAACTGCATGTAGCCTTCCCCAAGTTTTGTAACCCCTGGGTCCATGAGGGTAGAGTTGAGGGTGGTGAGGAGATGAGAACAGCAGTGACACACCGTCACTCCTGCCAAATTCTATTGGTCACACAGACCAGCCCTGGTACAAAATGGGAGGAAAGTACAGAAAAGTGTGAATACCAGGAGGTGGGGACCACGGGGGGCCATGGTGGAGGCTGGCTATCACATAGACCTCTTTCACAGATGAGAAATCTGAAGCTAGGAGATGAGTAACCTACCCAAGGCCACTAAGCTAATAAGTGGAATAACAAAAATTTAATCAAATTCTTACTTTTCCAGGAATGAATTATATACTCATTTAGTCTTCTCAGTAAGCCTAGGAAGGGAGTAATATTTCCATTTTACACATGCGGAAAGGAAGGCAGGAGAGGTTGGGTAACTTGCCCGCAAATCCATGATGCTAACAACTGCACATACTGCCTTTTTAAAAGCCTCTTCCACCTGACCCCAGATTCCCCAGGCTCTTCACTGAGAGGTCCTACCTCCAGCATGCATTCCCATGAGGTTGTTTGGGTTAGTTTTGCAGGCCTGTGTATGCCTTATGTGCGCTCGTGGAAAAGTATGGGGGTGGGCGGGGACCCCCCTCCCCTTCCCCCTCCCCTTCCCCCTCCCCTTCCCCCTCCCCTTCCCCCTCCCCCTCCGTGCGGTCTGACTCTGCCCTGCCTGGCTGGCCCAGGTGCGTTGGACCAAGACCGCGGGCAGCGCGTCGGACAAGTTCCAGGAAACATCGGTGTTCAATGAGACACTGCGCATCGAGCGCATCGCGCGCACGCAGGGCGGCCGCTACTACTGCAAGGCTGAGAACGGCGTGGGCGTGCCTGCCATCAAGTCCATCCGGGTGGATGTGCAGTGTGAGTCGGGTCTGCCTCTTAGTACCCGGGCCAGGGGCCTGCTTCTGGGGGCTCAGGCTGGGAAGGAGGAGTGGGGAGAAGGGTAGAGAAGTGGCACCTCCGTGTAGAACAACTGTAGAGACTTTCTCTTTTCCAGGATAGAGAAGGGCATCCCTGATGTTCCTTTGACGTGCACTACCTTATACCATTCACCCATCTCTGTCTTTAATCCCATATGAACCTTGCAGCATCCCTGCAAAGTGGTCAGGGAGGGCAGGACAGGTTGGATTATACCCATTCTACAGATGAAGAAGCTGAGACCAAAGGCTTGTGACTTGCTCACTGCATAGGTCTCTTCTCATTATGGTCCAGTGTCCTTCCCACAGTACCTCACGTCTCTGCTTTTGTCCCAGGGAAGCTCTGAAACTTCCCTATCCCAACACCTGCAGGACCAGGCACCCCTCAGTCCTTGCTACAGGTTGAATGGGAAGCCCTCAGTCCCTGCCTGCCATCCACGGATATTCCCTTGACCACTCAGAGGCTATCTCCCTTCTTGCCATCCGCCTCTGTGCCATCCAGGCTGACCTAGGTACCCAGAAGCTGTGGGGCCAGGCCCAAAGGTCTGTCTGCCACCATCTTAATATCTACAATGAACCTATCCATTAAATACACCCCCCTGCCCCAAGTGGGACCTGATAGAGTGGTGGAACCCCAGGCCCTCTCTTCTGTCCCCCTTCAGCCACCCAGGGGCCTGACAAACCCTGGGGCTGAGGGTCGTTTCTCAAGTTATTGCAGCTGGAAGTGTCTGGCAGGCATGGCCTGATTTCCAGTGTGCAGCTGCTTCCTCCATCCTATGGTAGGAGGGTGAAGATAGACACACACATCCCCCCGCCCTCCCCACCCCCCAGCCAATGCAGGTCCCTGGGGAGGGACTGCTGAGAAGCCAACATATCCAGTCCCCTGCCTCTGACAGGTTGCTCAAGCCTGCAGGGCTGGGAGAGCATCTTGCTCTCTGGAAGCATCCCATGAGGGTAGCTTAACTTTCCCTGAGAGCTGCCAGGGGCCCAAGCCCTCCACCTAGGGGGTCACGCATCTGACTCCACTGGGGCTGTGCCCTTGCAGACCTGGACGAGCCAGTGCTGACAGTACACCAGACAGTGAGCGATGTTCGAGGCAACTTCTACCAGGAGAAGACGGTGTTCCTGCGCTGTACGGTGAACTCCAACCCACCTGCCCGCTTCATCTGGAAGCGGGGCTTGGACACCTTGTCTCACAGCCAGGACAATGGGGTCGACATCTATGAGCCCCTCTACACCCAGGTCAGGATGGGCGGCAGCTGGCTTGGTCTCCTCATGGCTCACCCCACATTCTTCCTCCTGCACCCCACAAGGGAGGGGGCCAGGGGGGCTGAAGCCTCACCATCTGGAGTTCCAGGGACTGCCCTGACTCCAACAAGTTTCTTCTGACATCAGAAGCAAGCATTCTGATTGGGCTTCAGACCACCTGGGGCAGACAGAATTGAGACAGAAAGGTCAGGAAGCAGTGGTGAGGACAGGAGAGTCCTCAAGGCGACATGTCCTCTAAGAAATTTGCCAGTTAGGAGAGGCACCTCCTGAGGCAGACAAGTCATCCCTGCCTGTTGCTGGCTGTCAGGGTCTTTGGAACGGCGGGCAGGAACAGCAGGAGTTGGGGTAGAAAGATGAGTCACTTCCCATGGCTCTCCTGCAGTCCTAGGAGATGGTGATGAAGCCATCCTGATCCTGCAAGAGAGTTTTCAGAGGCAGCTTTCCTAGGTGGCTGTCAGAACTCCACATGTAGCCATGGCCTGTAGGGCCAGCCCTATATTTGTATGGGTTGTAAGACAGAGCAGGATTCCCTCGTTACCCTTCCATTTCCTAGAATGGGGAAACTGAGGCCTGGTCCTGACCAGTGTGTACCAGGACACCCTCAGACCCATGGAAGCCCAGGGTATGGGGAGTGTGCCATCCACCCCAGGCTCAGTCCTGAATAGGAATTTGCTTTAGCCTCTGGTGCTTGGTGAATGTGTGTGAGACCCAAGCAGGCCCCTCACCCCAGTGGTCACTGCCCAGGGGGAGACCAAGGTCCTGAAGCTGAAGAACCTGCGGCCCCAGGACTATGCCAGCTACACCTGCCAGGTGTCTGTACGCAACGTGTGTGGCATCCCGGACAAGGCCGTCACCTTCTGGCTCACCAACACCACGGGTACAGGCACTTCCCCGCCCATCCCCTTTCCCACCTGGGCTGAGTCCTCAACCAGGAGGTGGTGCCCATCTCATGCAAGACTCCAAGCACATCACCACGAGTGTTTCCCCTCCTCCTTCCTGCCTGCTCCTTCCCTTCTCCCCCTGCAGGCCTTCCCCGGCCCCCATTCCCTCCCTGATTCTCCTCCCCCACATCTGGCCCTGCCTCATGGTCCCCTAAGACCCCATTCTTGTCCTCCTAGCACCACCAGCCCTGAAGCTGTCTGTGAACGAAACTCTGGTGGTGAACCCTGGGGAGAATGTGACGGTACAGTGTCTGCTGACAGGCGGTGATCCTCTGCCCCAGCTGCAGTGGTCCCATGGACCAGGTCCACTGCCCCTGGGTGCCCTGGCCCAGGGTGGCACCCTCAGCATCCCTTCAGTGCAGGCCCAAGACTCTGGCTACTACAACTGCACAGCCACCAACAATGTGGGCAACCCTGCCAAGAAGACTGTCAACCTCCTGGTGCGATGTACGTGGCTCCGGAGGGGTGGAAGGAAACTTGGGAAGCAGACAGGGTCCCTGTACCTTGGGAACTGAAATGGGAAAGGGGCCTGTCTGCTTCTCCTTGGTAGGGGAGGTAGGCTGAGAAGGCAGGTTCCAGGCACTTTGATTTCCCTGCAATTCAGGTGTCTGCCAGCAGATGGCAGGACTAAAATTTGCATAAAGTTTTATTTACAGTTTACAATCAATACCTTTTCAAATATAACCTCAACAACCCAAGAAGTAGGAAGGGCTGGTGTTGATTACCTAGATTTTTTTAGACTGGGAAACTGAGGCTGCAAAAAGCTAAATGTGGACATTCCAGACTCTAAGAGAAAGTTCCTGACTTTCTCCCTGTACAATGGTTTCTACGTGATTAATAGAATTAAAGTGAAAATAACACACATTTCCACATACCTCATATGTAAATCTTTATTAGCAAAGCATTTCAGTGAGTATAAAGATAATTACTAAATGTAAAAATGATTAAAACTTGGAGCACAATATAAAGAAGTGCAAATACTTTCCTAACTAAATTTCAGCCTCAGTAATTATCATTAGCTGCTCGATAAGATCTTGATTTTACTGCTCTGCTTTAAGGAGGAAACTTTAAATTCTTCTGCTTGTGCAGCTTTAGGTGGTTGTTTAAAAATTTATTAAAAAAATTTTTTTTTAAAGATCCAGGCTTGTTTCCAGCTTTTTAGCACTTGAAAGTAAGATACAGCTTCTGTCAAATTCAATTGAGCATCTTCTGATGGACACTCTTCTCTGTTCATCTGTCACTGACCAGTCTCTCCCTGACTCTCCTCACCAAGAGAAGCTAGCTCTCTATGACTTTTTACTTAATTATGATTAAGTAGTGAGAAAGATAATGGTCAAACTGTGGTTATCTAATGACTACTGTTTCCTTTGATGGTACTTTTCCCATCAGAAGATTGTTCTTCCCCACCTGATCCATATGCCCTTTAAAACCTGGGTTGATAAGATTGCCATTTTCATCAAATACTTGTGGTCACCTCTCGGGGTGACATACAGCCTGCTTCACTCAGCCCAGTCCTGATTTATGGCTGTTGTAGCAGAGTCCTTTCCAATGAGCACCTAATATTAAGAATTCTGTCTAATTCTTGGCATACATAAAACAATTTTTAGATTTTTAAAGGAGGTCAGACCATTTTCTTTCTAAACTCTGTATTTTTATGTAATTGCATGTAAAATGATTGTATTGGTCTTTTTTTTTTTTTTTAATGACACAAACTTGTTGCAAAGAGCTAAACAGCACAAAAGGGCAAGTTAAAAATTTCCCCTTAATTTCCCTCAGTCCCATTCTCTAGATAGAACCAGTGTTACATTCTGGTGCCTCTTTCCAAAATTTGTATTTTGTATATTCTGGGTTTAAAACAACAATAAAAATAAAGCAGCATAGTAGTTAGGAGCACAGGCTCTGAGTATGAATTCAAGATTGGCTATTTACCAATACTTCTTTGAGCAAGTGAATTAAACTGTCTGAGCCTCATTTCCCTCCTTTGTAAAATAGGGAAAATAAAATGCCTCCCTCAAAGATTGTGGGATGGGCTAAACGAGGAAACCCACATACAGTGCTTAGAACAGGGCCTCTCATAGTGTATGTTTGGTCAACAGTGGCTGCATTGATTACTAAACCCACTTTTCTACAGCGAGCTTTTTTTTTTTAACTTTTGGAAACACGTCTGAGAGAGGAGAACGATTTCCAAGCAGAGAAAGTGATGGTTTCTCCTGGGAGTGGGATCGTAGCCCCCAAACTCCAGGAAGGCCAGTTGGAGGGTAGAAGCTGCACCTGGATGGGGGTGGTGAGACAGGGAACCCTGGCTTTGGGCCAGCTCCAGCCACCTTTCCCTCCCCATCCACCCATAGCCATGAAGAATGCCACATTCCAGATCACCCCAGATGTGATCAAAGAGAGCGAGAACATACAGCTGGGCCAGGACCTGAAGCTGTCATGCCATGTGGATGCAGTGCCCCAGGAGAAGGTGACCTACCAGTGGTTCAAGAATGGCAAGCCAGCACGCATGTCCAAGAGGCTGCTGGTGACTCGCAATGACCCTGAGTTGCCCGCTGTCACCAGCAGCCTAGAGCTCATTGACCTACACTTCAGCGACTATGGCACCTATCTGTGTGTGGCTTCCTTCCCGGGAGCACCTGTGCCCGACCTGAGCGTCGAGGTCAACATCTCCTCTGAGACAGGTGGGCAGCTGGAGGGGGGCAACAGGGAGGTATGAGGGGGCTGGAGAGACCCACAGAGGGGAGGTGGGGGCAGCAGCTTGGGAAAGGGAGGCCACAGTGAGGAGGATACCATTTGTTCATGCCATATGCATTTATTAAACACCTGTTATATGCCAGGTATTATGCTACGCACTGGAGTAAAGTGGTGGGCAAAACAGGCCACACTGAACTTAGTAGCAAATGTTTTTCAGATCATCCCACAAATAAATGTATCACTGCAAACTGTGATGCATGAGAGTCAGGAGTTTCCTAAGATAGCAGGTTTGATCTGAGATCTGAGGGAGGGGCAGGATTTTAGTAGGCAAAGGAGAGCAAAGGGAGGGTGGAAGAGAAAAGCAGGCCAAGGAATCAGCATATGCAAAGGCACCGAGGCAGGAAAGTACATGAAGCATTTGGCGCACTGAAAGGAGAGTGTGGCTGAGAGAATAGAGTGAGATGAGAGTGGAGAGGTAGGTAGGGGCCAGATTTTGCAGAGGATTTGGGTCTTTATTCCAATAATAATAAATAACGATAATGAAATAATGGCCGACATTTACTGAGTGTTTACTATGTGTTCTGATGATTTTATATTTATCTCATTCACCTTCATGATTTACTTTATGGGGTAGATGGTTCATCTTCAGTTTTTAGAGATGAGGAAACTTAGGCTAAGAGAGTTTAAGAATCTTACCTAAGGTTACACATCAATAAATGGTGGAGCTGGGATTCAAACCCAGGCAACCAGACTTCAGAACCTGCTCTCAGCCACCCGTGAAGGGTTTACACTTTGAAAATTACAAGAGTTTGGAGGGAGTGACTTTGGAGAAGGTCTCTGGAATCTCATCTCCAGCCCCCAGTACCTTGCACTGAGTTGCTGGCTGACTTTGGCTAAGCCTCTTCAACTCTCTGGGCCTCAGTCTCTCCTCTATGAGACATTGAACCAGATGGCCTTGGAAGCTCTTCCCATCCTGACATCTGAACAGGGAGAGGCCAGGTGTAGCTGGAGGTGTCAGGAAAGGCTTCCAGAAGGAGACAGACCTGAGCTGGGCTTTGGGAGTGGACTAGGCCTCCACAGATTCCATAAATCCATTTTGCAAATCACAGAGCCATGTCTGGGGTGAGGAGCTGGGGACTCAGACACGAATGCCACAGCCCCATCATCAGAGCTCACTGCCTAGACAGAGAGATAGACCTGTTGCAGAAGGGTCAGGCAAGGTGGAGGAAAAGGAAGGACAAACCTTAGATAAGACTCAGGAGCTAAAGGTGGGGTCTTCAGAGCATCTGGGGGCACAAGAGGAGTACCAGGCTGCCCGGGGTCATCAGGGAAGGCTTCTTAGGGGAGCCATTTTCCATGTGAGCATTTGCCCATGCTCAAGCCCATGAGAGGAGGGACAGGGAGCCCCCAAGGTGTATGAGACTTACTGTGTCCAGGAAGTATGTTCCTTACAAGTGGATCCCACAGCTGCAACACAGGATGGGAAAGGAAGATGAGGCTGGGGGTTGACAGAGGCCAGAGCCCAAGGGCCTTGTTAGAAGAGCCAAGGAGTTTGAGCTTTAACCTGAGGGCAGTATGGCCTCAAAATGGGACAGCCCTTTATCTTGTGGGGGCAAAGAAGGGTTGAGAGCTGGGGTGTTTTAGAAACAGGGAAATCAATGGGGTACAGGGCCATTTCCTTCATTTCATTCGTCAGCTTGATGCCTAGGACATAGAAGCTTTTTAAGGACCTGTGGAGACGGTTTAAAATTGGAAAAATAAATTAAAATTAACTGGCTCCAAAATACAAAGGGAAAACTGCAGAGTTAAAGCCAATAAATGTATAAATGTTTACAGAGTATAAATTATGCTAACTAGATAACTGGACTTCAGCTTGCCTTGTAGAGTTATTTACGATTTATATTTAATGTAGACATTTAATTTGTTTGATGTGATATGGGATGGGACCCATGGAAGTCTTTAAAAGACCCTTAATTTGGGCAATGTGTCGGGTTGGATTAGGTTTGGCTGTGAATAACAGAAAAAAACCTAAATAACGGTGCCTTTAAATGAGCTAGATGTGTATTTCTTCTTTAAGTAAAAGTGAGCAGTCCAGGCTGGAATAGTGGCTCGGCTCCACCAAATCCTCAGAGCCCCAGGCTCCATCTTGTCTTGCTTTTCTGTTATCTTTAGCATGTGCCCCCTCGTCCACGATGGCAGTGCCAGCTGCAGCCATCAGTCTGCATTCCAGCCTGCAGGGAGGAAGAGAGGCACTGCCTCTCCATTTAAAGACTCACACCATCTTGGCCAGGATTTAGTCACGTGACCAGAGCTAGCCATAAGGCAGGCTGGGAAATACAGTCTTTATTCTGGCTGTGTGTCCTGCTAAAGCCCAGATATTCTTTCACTTTTGAAGAAAGGGTAAGGATGTTGGGGGACAGACTACCAACCTGTGATAACACTCCAGAAAGAGAAGATGGAGGCTTTCACTAGAGCAGGGCCAGTAGGCAGGAAGGAAGGGATTGAGGGGGAAGATATTTAGCAGAACTATTTAAAAAGTGGAACCCCCCAAATAAATAAAAGGTGGAATCCCCCAAACTTAGTAATGTTGGGGATAAGGGGATAGAAAGAATTGGCCTGGACGACTTCAACACTCTTTCTGAGTTGGGAGACCTTGAGGTAGAGACCCAGGAGGTGGAGAGGATTTGGGGAGGGGAGTTCTGCTTTGAAGATACTGCAGGATCTGTGGAACATTGGGGATGGGAAAGGAGGCTCGCACTTTGTGGGAGGGAAGCAGGAGCCCCAGAGCAGAGGCCGGGGGATGGGGGGGGCGGTGAGGGGAAGCTCTAACCCCGCTCCTACCTCTTCCCTGCCCCGCAGTGCCTCCCACCATCAGCGTGCCCAAGGGCAAGGCCGTGGTGACCGTGCGCGAGGGCTCGCCCGCCGAGCTGCAGTGCGAGGTGCGGGGCAAGCCGCGGCCGCCTGTGCTTTGGTCCCGTGTGGACAAGGACGCTGCGTTGCTGCCCTCGGGGCTGCCCCTCGAGACCTCGGACGGGAAGCTGCGGCTGGAGCGTGTGAGCCGCGACATGAGTGGGACCTACCGCTGCCAGACGGCTCGCTATAATGGCTTCAACGTGCGCCCCCGCGAGGCCCAGGTGCAGCTGAACGTGCAGTGTGAGTCCCACCGCCCCACCCAGACTACCGTCCAGAGCTGTCCCTCCCGGTTTACAGTCAGGCCTGCCCCCTCTTCACCCCTTCACCCACCCTAGTCCAACCAAACCCCTCTGCTGATACCCCTAAACCCTCCTTGACCCCCGTGCTCTAAGACATGGAGGTCCATGACTCTTGCCGCACTTCTACTCCATCTTCATTCCCAGGGACCCAGTGAGCAAAGAAATAACTGATTTTGCCAAGTGAAACTGGGAGTTTGAAGGAGGAAGGAAACTTCAAGGGAACACACTGCTTCTGATAGTAAAATGACGAGAGTTAACTTACCACGTGCCAAGCACTGAGTGTTTTAATGCCCTAACTCATCTAGCCCTCCACAGTCCTATGTATAGATTCTGTTATTCACCCATTTTTACAAATAGGGAAACCGAGTCACACAGATGTTAAGTAACTTACCTAAGATCTCACAGCTAGTTAGAGGCAGAGCTGGGGTTTGAACCTAAGCTATCTAGCTCCGGAGATCATGCTGTAAATCCCGACGTTATGCTGCTTTTCATTACACGGAGGGTGAGGGGACCATTTGAGGCATGAATAGAGGCCCAGTCTGGGAAGCTCGGCTGGAGGTTTTGGCCGGGAAGGAGTAGGTATCTGCAGGTCGGGGAGGTATAAGTGTGGCTATTTTGAATGTTGTGAGTATGTATCCGCCCTGAGACCCTTCCAGGATGCTGGGGGGTGGGGGGAGGGGTGGCGGGAGTAGAGGCGAGTACGTCGCCTCCCCATGGGGCCGCTCCTCAGACCCCACTCGGTGGGGAGAGGCCCCGCTGACCGCCGCCCCCGCCCCCAGTCCCGCCGGAGGTGGAGCCCAGCTCCCAGGACGTGCGCCAGGCACTGGGCCGGCCAGTGCTGCTGCGCTGCTCGCTGCTTCGAGGCAGCCCCCAGCGCATCTCCTCGGCTGTGTGGCGCTTCAAAGGGCAACTGCTGCCTCTGCCGCCTGCCGTCCCCGTCGCCGCCGAGGCCCCCGACCACTCTGAGCTGCGCCTCGACGCCGTCACCCGCGACAGCAGCGGCAGCTACGAGTGCAGCATCTCCAACGACGTGGGCTCCGCTGCCTGCCTCTTCCAGGTCTCGGGTGAGTGTCCCGACTGCCCCGCCCCAGCCAGCCCCGCCCACCTGGGGCCAGGCTCCGCCCCAACCCCAGCCCTGCCCAGGCTCCGCCTGGGGCCCCGCCCTTTGCGGCCTCACTGCGCCTGGTTTAGGGCCCTGCCTTTCCCGGACCCGCCCATGCTAGGTACAGATCCCACGCAGGCCTCTCGGGTATAACCGGGACGTTCTCTCACAGCCCTGAACCCCCCACTTGCCCACTCTAGGTCTAGGCCTTCCCCTTTCGAGGCCCGCCTCGACTTGGCCTAAGCCTCGCATGTTTTAGCTTTGCCCGGCTCCTGGCATCTGACACGCCCGCTCCCTTCACCAGGCCTAGACTTCGCCCCTCTAGCCCCAGGAGCACCAGGTATGGGCCCTTGCCTTTAAAGGCCCATTCAAGCCTGGCTTACGCCCTGCCTACGTGAGGCATAGGCTCCACCCCTTCCAGCTCTCTGCTTCCACCTGTTTGAGTAGCAGGCATCGCTTTCCCTCCAGCCCTGTCCACGTCAGGTTTAGACCGACCCGCTCAAGCCCTGGGCACCGCCGCATCTCAGCCGTCACTTCTCAAGCCCCTCCTCCTTCGTCCTTGGCCCTAGAGGCTGTAGATAGGAAATCTCTTCCTGGCTGCGGGCCCAGTGTGAGGGGTCTGAGCTGTTAGAGGAGGGAAGAAGGCCTCAACAGCTTCCCTGGAACGTCGTGGGTGGCGCTGGGCCAGCCAGCACACATTTCCTGAGCTGTCACTCTAGAGGTTCAGGCCCCTCGGTGCCCCGAAATCCCTTTCAGCCCCATCTCTTCATGTCATTCAGGTGGGCATTTTGGGGCTGCAGATGGGCGTGGGTGGGTCAGAAAGGAGGGAAGGTCGTGGTGAGAGTGGAGGGGAAAGGCCGGACCCACTCCCTTCTCTTCCTCCCTTGGAGAGAGCCGGTACCCTGTCAGAAGCAGCACCCCAGAGGAGAGCCCCAGGTGTGCCTGTACCCCATTTTACTGTGCCCCCGCTCTCCCAACAGCCTCTGACTGACTGGGTGCCCCTTAGCTCTTGTTTGGATCTCCTCACTCACAGTGGGGGGCTAGGGCCACAGGTCACTGGCCACCTACCCAGCCCCTCCCCACCCCACCCAGCCCTGCCAGCCAGAGGCCCCTGTGACATTTCCCACCTCCTTCCCCCTCCCCTGTTCTCCCACACTTTCCCTGTCTCCCCACCTTTTGGCCGCTCTCTATCTCTCTTCCCTTCCTTCTACCTCAAAATCCATGACCCTTCTTGGTGTCTTCTATCCAATTCTCTTCCCCTGTGTCTTCTCTAATATCCCTTCTCTGTGTCTTAACCACATTTCTCTTTTCCATCCTTTCCTTGGACTTTCCACTCCCTTCTCACCAACACCACCTCTTGGATTCCCAATCTCCCTTTCCTCCATCTCCCACCTTCCCGCCTACCCCTCATTCTCCCCAATCTCCTCTTCTCCCACCATCTCCTCTCCTCACAATATTCCTTCATTTTGTCTCCCCCCACCTCTCTGTACCACGCATCCTCTTCTGTCGCCCTCTCCCACACCTCCTCTCTCTGTGTCTCTCCTCATCCCCTGCCCCTCACGGCCCCGTGCCCCCCTCCCGGCCCTCTCAGCCAAAGCCTACAGCCCGGAGTTTTACTTCGACACCCCCAACCCCACCCGCAGCCACAAGCTGTCCAAGAATTACTCCTACGTGCTGCAGTGGACCCAGAGGGAGCCTGACGCTGTCGACCCTTTGCTCAACTACAGACTCAGTGTCCGTCAGGTGGGCCAAGGGGGACAGGGGCTCGGGTGCAGGCTGGCCCTGGGAATACTCATCAAGCCAGGGGGAAGGGGTTGGAGACACATTGACCCTCTTAGAGATAACTCTTCAAAGCCAGGGAAAAAGTGTTCTGGACACAGGAGCTGGGACGCTCTAGGGACCTGTCCCCTTTGAACCCATGCTCTGGGCACAGCCCTGAGAATTAGGCAGGGGTCTGCTGGGTTCATGTGGGGGAAGGGGGGTAAAGCCAGTCCTGCTCACAAAACAGAGAATCTTATATATACTTATATATACTCTTATATCAGAAGCTTAAAGCATGAGCTTAAGTCTCATCTACAGGGTCTCTAGGACACAAGGCCAGAGCCACTATACGAGTCTCAAGTCCAGTCTAATTGCATGTGGTTCTGCCCAGACTAAGGGGTAGTTGGGTGGAGGGTAAGAGTGTGACTCTGAGGCAGACTGCCTAAGCTAAAATTCAGTTCTGTATTAACTTGGGCAAGCTACATCTGTTTGGCTTCAGTTTCTTCATCTGTAAAATGGGGGTAATTATACTGTTCCAACTGATAGGATCATTATTTTGAGGATTAAATGAGTTAATAATTGCAAAGCATTTAGAACAGTGCCTAGCACACATTAATTTTTCAATACGTGTTACTATCACTTATTATTAAGACAGCCCTGGGGGGTGGGCATGGAAGGGGTGATTGCTCTATCTTACAGATGAGGAAACTGAGGGCCTGGCTTCCTAGTCCTTCGCTCTTTCTGCTCCCCTGCACTGCCCCCGAAAGTCACACCAGGGCCTGGGCTGGTGCTTAGGTGGAGGGTGTCGGGCATCTGGGAACTCCCTGTATCTACAGTTGAATCAGCAAAACGCCATGGTGAAGGCCATCCCGGTGCGGCGTGTGGAGAAGGGGCAGCTGCTGGAGTACATCCTGACCGACCTTCGAGTGCCCCACAGCTACGAGGTCCGCCTCACGCCCTACACCACTTTCGGGGCTGGAGATACGGCCTCCCGCATCATCCACTACACAGAGCGTAGGTGGTGGTGGCTGTGGTGGTGGGATAGGTGGGCCCATCTCATGCCCAGGGGACCCCTCCATATTCCCCACGTGGTTCCTGAGCTTGGGGTTCTCCAATGTGCAGTGTCCTACCCTGTCACTGCAGGCCAGGAGCCTCTGGCCCCCAGGCCTACTCTGGGGACCCTGTTCCTAAGCCCACGCACCCTCTGCACAGCTCCACACCTTGGTTCTGACTTGGTTTTCCTGCTTGCTTTCTCAGCCATCAACTCTCCCAATCTGTCAGGTGAGACACCCCTACCCACTTCCCCTTCCCTTTAGGGACACAAAGGCTCCCCGGGTGGGAGGGACCCCAAGAGATAACCCAGAGAGTAAATAGTGTGGAGGCCAGAAGTTGACAGAAAAAGCAGAAGGGAGCAAGGCTGGGCTTGGAGATATTTGCATCCAGGATTTATTCTGGGGCTTAAAGGCTTGAAGTGGGGGTGGAGTCAGGAGGACATCTCTCTAACTCAGGGCCTTTTGTCCTCACTCAGCACCATTCACTGTCCCCAAAAGAAAAATGGAAAGACCAGGCTAATCCACATTCTCTGTTCCCTGGGGCAGAGGTCCTTAATCTGAGATCCATGGACCACCCCTACAAAGGATGAGGAGGGTCCATGAAACTGGACCCTGGAAGGGCATACAATTACTTCTTTATTTTCCCTAACTTCTAGAAATTTAACATCTTCAATGATGAATGTAGGAATGTGGTATAATCACTACCTGTGACTCTGTCATCAGTGGAAATCCAATGTTTTCACATCACCTAAAAGTTTTTGCAGCCATCTCTAAATATCATTTCCATTTATTAGTATTTCAAACTACAGTAGTTAGACCTAACACTGGATCCTGTGATTTAATTAGATAATAGAGAAGCCCACTTACTACTATATCACAAATTTATTTTTTAAATATTTTGATAACTGTATTTCAATATAATTGATTTCCTTTGTAACCCTGTGTTTTTCATTTTATGCACCTAAATAATTTTTCTGAGATGAGATTCTTAACTTCACTAGACGCCAGAAGGGTTTGTGGCACAAAAAAGATTAAGAAGTCCTGTTCCGGGAATAGATTGGTCAGGGGTTCCTTTGCCTGGTTTCTGAAGCCCTGGGATCCTGGGCCCACTGCTTGGATCTGTCTCATGGGAGCTGTCTCATGGGTGACCAGGAAGGCAAAGCTGGACCAGGGGACTTGAGGAGGCTGACTCTCTTTGTCTCATTCCCTCCCAACTCTGCCCTGAATACAGACAACACCTGCCACTTTGAGGATGAGAAGATCTGCGGCTACACCCAGGACCTGACAGACAACTTTGACTGGACCCGGCAGAATGCCCTCACCCAGAACCCCAAGCGCTCCCCCAACACTGGTCCCCCCACGGACATAAGTGGCACCCCTGAGGGTGAGGACATGGCCTGCTGCTAGGAATGGAGAACAGCTTCAGGGAGGGGTCTAGCCCTGGGGAGCCCGGTCTGAGAGGAGACACAGCCCCGGCCTCAGGGAGCCCCGGTCTGAGAGGAGAGAAACAGCTCTGAGCTGCTAGAGGATTGGGAAGAAGAGAAACTGCAGCAGAGCTAAGCACTCACAATTGCTGGCCCAGACTCCTGTGTTGTGCCGTGAGGCAGGGAGGACCGGGTGGGGTGGGGTGAGGCACCTGGGATTCAGGCAGCTGATACTACGGCCAAAAAGGAATCAGATGGAAAGAGGCCTGGGAGGGGTGAGGGGGAGGCTGTTGGCACATCTCCCCCTTCCCTGCAGGCTACTACATGTTCATTGAGACATCAAGGCCCCGGGAGTTGGGGGACCGCGCGAGGTTGGTGAGTCCCCTGTACAACGCTAGCGCCAAGTTCTACTGCGTCTCCTTCTTCTACCACATGTACGGGAAGCATATCGGTGAGTCGAGGGACCAGGTAAGCTGCACGAGTGTGTGCTGGGGCAGGGAGGGGTGTCCACAGGAAGCTGGGGACTGGCCCGGGTAAGGCCTGGGCGTCCCAAGTTGGCTGAATCACAGATCCTTATAGGGAATATGAGCAGAATCGGGCAAGGGGGAAGTCCAGAGCCAGCTTGTCTGAGGTTTTGAGATGATCAAGGCTTTCTGAGGGTGCAAAGAAAATGGATCCACCAGGATGAGTCTTGGAGGGGATGGAGAAATCAGCTAAAAGGTTGCATGTATTGAGTGCCTGCCAGGTGCCAGGTGACATCCTGGGTTAGGGATGCATCTGTGGTCTTATTAACCCTCACAACCACCACGTGTGGGAGGTGTTACCATATAGACCAGAGAGGTTAAGCATTTGCCCAAGATCACACAGCAACCCAAGTCTGTCTGACTCTCCCAAGCCCTAAACGCAGGGTTGGAAGGGAGCTGCTCTGTGAGCAGTGAGGGGAAGTACTACTTCGTAAGCATGACCATGAACCTAAGGAGTGCCCTTTGGTAAGAGATGGCACTGGTAGGAGTGCCACATTAGTCAATGAACTCATCAGTTCAGCCGTCATTTCCAGAGCCCCTGCTCTGTGCCAGGCATCTAGTGCTGCAGTGAACAGGATGGACAAATCCCTCATCCTCTTGGCACCTACAGTCAAGTGGGAGAGACAGACGTTAAATAATTAATTGCACCAGATAGGATTTGGTGACCACTGTGATGTGTGTCTGCAGCAGAAGGACAGAGGCCAAGACAGCTGATAAAAGGAATAGCCGACTGCCTCTGGGGGCTGGTTATGGAAGACTCTGCTGAGGAAATGACAATTTTAATTTTATTTGTTTGTTTGTTTACATATTTATGGGAAAGGTAGTGTATTTTGCACAGGTCAGAAGGTACAAAAGCGTGCATAAGGAGAGTCCCTCTCCCATCCCAGTCCTCCTGCCACCTAGAGTCCCTTCCCGGAGGCAATCAATGTATTAGATTTTGGGGCAAACTTCCAGAAATGCTTTAAGCATGTAGAAGCCAGTACACATATATTCTCTTTCCCTCCATTTTACACTGTTCCGTGCCTTGCTTTTCCCTCTAAACTGTGCATCTTGGTGATCAGGCCTTAACAGACCATAGAAAGCTTCATTGTTTTCCTCAGCGACATGGTAGAGGAAGTGACTTTAAGCAAGTGTGGACCTAAAGGCTCATTGTGAAGTGTCCACAGCTAGAGTGATGGGTCGGGCCGAACTAATGAACTGGAATGAGGTGGGATGGAACCTTCTGCAGCCACTGGGGTCCCCCGGGCCATCCACACAATCCAATTCACCCATGACCTGGGTCTGGACTTCGTGAGAAGCTTCCTGTGGGGTAGGTGGGGGTGAGGGTGACCAGGACCTCCCTGCCCAGCTAGAGTAACCACTTCAAACCAATCCTGGTTTGCCCCAGCCTTTCCCACTTTTAACACTAGAAGTCCCACGTCCCAGGCAAACCGGGACAGTTGGTCATTTTATCCTCAGCTCAGGAGGGGCACGGGAGACCCAACGGGCAAGAAGAGCATGTTGGACACAGTAGGGCCCTGGGAGATCAAGCCTTAAGAGCTGGGATGCTCAGGTGCCTGGGAGCAGAAAAAGCCCTGAGGGAGCCATCTGTGCTCCAGAGCTTGCTTGGTGTCCCCCAGCAGGTGGGACAAACACCAGTCACTGAAAGCCTCTGGGAGGCAGGTTTGAATTCCACCTGAGGAAGATCCTATAAGTATCAGATCTTCCCAGCAAAGGAATGGGCTATCCTGTGCCTGGACAGGAGGACTGTCCAGCAGGGGTGCTGTGGAGGTGACCCCTGTCCCAGGTCATGTTACTCCCCTGCTCGGCCCCCTTCCATCACCATCTTCTCCAGGCCTCCCGTACCGATCTGCCCCTGCCTGCTTCTCTGACCTCATTTTCTGCTGCTCTCCCCTGACTCTACTCAGTTCAAGCACACCGGTCTCCTTGCTTTTCTTTAAGTACTTGAGGCCTTAGAAGCCTTTGCTTGTGATATTTTCCCCCGCCTAGAATGTTCTTCCCTTCCCCTCATTCAGGCTTCCTTGGAGAGGTCTCCGACAGCCCCATGTAAAACACCTCTGTATCCCTTTCCTGCATTATTTTCTTTATAGTGCTTACTGCCAAAAGAGCATAAGCTTCAGGAAGCAGAGTTCTTTATCTTATTCATGGATGTGTCTCTGGTGTCTAGAATAGTGCCTGCTCAATTAGATGAATGAATGGATGAATGATGGGGAGGTAGGGAGGGCTGGGCTTGATGAACCCTGAGATAACTTCTTACCCTGAGAAGCCTCTTTTCAGTCAGCCCTGATGACAGTGATGGAAAGTTCTTCACTGAGCATTCAAATATCGAGAACAGATAGGAATTTGATGGGGACTTTCCCTCAGGAGCCAAATCGGGAGAGAGGATGTGAATCCCAGTAACTGCCACACTGTAGAGCAGGGAGTGATCTGGGCATGGGGAACTGCAGTTTAAGGTCTCAGAGTTCACAGGAAGCACAGAGGGCTCCCGGCTGAAGCCTGGGAAAACTTCTTGGAGGAGGTGACATTTCAGAGAGGGCTTGAAGCACAAAAAGGATTCGGTCAGGGGAACATAGTAGGGGAGGGCATCTCAAGCAGTGGGAACAGCCCAGGCAAAAGCCCAGAGTCTGGAAAGCTGGACTGTGTCCAGCCTGCAGCATGTAGCTCAGTGTGGCTTTGGAGGTGACAGGAAGATAGGGAAGAATGTAGTGAGCAGGCACCCTTAAGGCCCTGGCTGACCCTGTGAAACACTGTCAGGAAGAGGGGAGATCTTGGAGCTGGTGGGATGATCAGGGAAGGGGGCAGAAATTCAATTTTGGTTTGAGTAGTGAAAAGGTGGGGTTCCCCCATTGGGGTCCTTGGGGCAGGGTGGTGGAGGAGGAAGAAACGGTTTGGAGATTGAGGTTGGACCCTGGAGGTTGGGGGATTGGAACCGGGGAAGATCTTCAGGAAGGGGAAGAGAGGGAGGTCCCTTTGGGGCTGGTGAGAAGCCCAAAAGTCTCTGGGGCTTGGGCCCTGCCTAAGCCAGTGTGGCATCTCCCGGCCCACTGGGTGCTGGCTTCAGCCCTCTCAGGGCCCCATCTGCTGGTGAGGGTTCTCCACATGCCTTGAACCTTTGTTTGCTCCTCCCCCAGGCCTGGGTCTGCTGCTGGGGAGGGGTGGGTGTTTCTTGCTGTCCAGGTCCCTCCTCTCCCCTCCCCTCCTACCCCACCTGGCAGCTCTGGGCACCAGCTGTCCCCAGTCCTTGTGCCTCACTGGCTCTCCTAGGTCCAAGCCAACTCCTTTAATCTCAGGCAGGTAACATTTGGTGGCCCTCCCCCTCTGGGGGGTCTGTCTATCTGGTGTCACAGATGGTGTGGCTTTGTCTGGGGCAGTGCCATGGAAATGCCAGCTACCAGGTGCCATCTAAGATTGATTCCCCTCCTCTCTGAGCCAAGTCTTTATGTCATAGGAGGCTTGAGATAGGCTAGAAGAGCCGGCGAGGGGGCATGACATTGCCTGGGTGCTCTTCATCAAGGCCTGATCCCTTCCTTCTCTTCCATTGCCCCTCAGCATCTCCACAATGCCAGGCCCCTGGGTCTGTGGGCGAAGGGGCTCAGCACCCCTAGGCTAATAATTCCAAAATTTCACATTTTACCGCAGCTATGTAGCACATATACTAATATCTTTCTTTGAATCAACTCCTTTTTTCTTAGCTTTGTCCTAAGCATCAATATTAGAGAAGTTGTGGGTTTGAAAGGCTAGCTTTATTCACCTCTTAAAACATATATATAAGTATGAAATTTTTCATTGAGGTATAATGGACATTATATTAGTTTCATATGTACAACATAATGATTTGACATTTGTGCATATTGCAAAACAATCACCACAATAAGTCTAGTTAACAACCAACCATCACCAGAATTTTTTTTTCTTGTGATGAGAACTTTTAAGGTCTACTCTCTTAGCAACTTTCAAATATGCAATACAGTATTCTTAACTATAGTCACCATGCTGTACATTACATCCCCAGAACTTATTTATTTTATAACTTGAAGTTTGTACCTTTTTAGTCCCTTCACCCATTTCACCCACCTGCCACTCTCCAAGTGTTAAATTTTTAAAGTCCGTTCCTGTACCTCCAGAAATCATTGCATGTATCGTGTACCACCAAGCGTGTGCATTACGTGCTTCGGGAATCCTGCTCTGTGTTCAGATATGGGCCCCAGTGTCCTGGGACAACTCCCCTGTCTAGAGGGGGGAAGGGTGCTGTGTGTGGGTGTGTGTGTGTGTGGGCGGGGAATTAGGTGATTAGGATGGAAAGGAAGAAATGAAAGAAGATTTGCCAATCGTCCTGATAAGTGGAAGCCCTGCTGCCCTATTGCTGTCCCCTTTCTTTCCCATGCTGAGGTCCCCTCTGGGATAACAGGACACCGAGCCAGTCTGCGATGGGGAGAATGTCCTGCCCAGCGGGGACTGTGCTGCGGGCAGTGGTAGGGAGTTGAGCCTGGTGAATGGGGAAAGGTGAGGGTGCCCCCTCACTGCCCCCTCTCCTCACACCCACCACAGGCTCCCTCAACCTCCTGGTGCGGTCCCGGAACAAAGGGCCACTGGACACGCACGCCTGGTCCCTCAGTGGCAATAAGGGCAACGTGTGGCAGCAGGCGCATGTGCCCATCAACCCCAGTGGGCCCTTCCAGGTGAGTCTGCTGGGCCCAGGGCTCCTCACAGCTCTCCAGGCCCTGGGCCATCGCTCCAGCCGGGGAGCCCTCAGGAGGGCCCAGGGCTTGCTCCTGGGAGCTGAGGAGAAAAGCTTGCAGGGATGGGGGGCCTTCCAGGGAGACGGAGGCTAAGGGCTGGGAGTCTGTGGTGCAGAACCCCCCTCATCCCTGCTCTCTGACCCCACCCCAGATTATTTTTGAGGGGGTTCGAGGCTCGGGCTACCTGGGGGATATCGCCATAGATGACGTCACACTGAAGAAGGGAGAGTGTCCCAGGAAGCAGATGGATCCCAATAAAGGTGCAGGATGGAAAGAGGGCGGGGGTGCTGAATCTCTGGGGGACCGTGTGGGTGGGTGCCTGTGTCAGGGGAGGCGTTGCTGTCTGAATTGGGGTTCAGAGTGGCTGGGTGATGGGATGCATGTGCTGGTGACTGTGGGAACAGCTGCTGATGTGTTTGGTACCCACCTTGGGCCCCACCCTGGCTCAGGCTGTGGGCCGTGTGGAGGACAATGAGGCCACCAGACCCTCCTATGAGCTTACTAAGTTTATGGTAGCAGCGTCTGTGTCTGGGTACATCCGTGTGTGTGTGTGTGTCCAGGTGTGAATGTGTACCCCTCCCCCTCCGCCACTGGGGGCCAGGTGTTTGCAATAATAACAGCTGGAGTTTACCAAGTGATTACGATGTACCAGGCAAGGTACAGACACCTGTATATGCGTGACGTCATTTATTCCTCACAGTCCTCTGGGTGGCTCTTCCTATTAGACTCATCTTACGAGCAAGGAAGCTGAGGCCGCTGAGGTTGAGTGAATGGCTCTGCGTCTCAGTTAGTGAGAGCCACAGAGCCAGGGTTTGGACCCAGCAGGCAGAGCTCACCACCTCATGTCTTACGAGTGTGTCTGTGAGCACAGAGAGGGGGCAGAGGAACAGCCCTCCCGTGGCCTGCTGGCTGTTCCTCCCTGGCCCTGCTGAGCTGACCGGAGCCCTGGCCTGTCTCCCTTCTCTTTCCCGTCACAGTGGTGGTGATGCCGGGCAGTGGAGCCCCCTGGCAGTCCCGCCCACAGCTCTGGGGGCCCATGGCCATCTTCCTCTTGGCGTTGCAGAGATGATGAGCGCTTCGTGGCCCCCCCACCCCGCCCCCGGCACACCAAAGTGTCCGCATCGTACCAAAGACTGACCCCATGCCAGCCGGGGTGCCCAGGGGCAGAGCCGCCCGCCAGTGAGGGGGCCTGCATTGGCTGTGAGGATGAGCAGAGAACAAGGACAGCGGCCCAGCACTGAGGCCCCGGAGACGCTTGTTCGACACACGCACACACACACCCACACTCACACACACAGAGATAAATTAAAGCACAAGTTTCTATCTGACCCGCCAGCATCTTCTTTGCTGCAGAGACAGGGGACTCGCCTGAATGGCATCCACCACTCCAGGGACCTCGGCGCCACATAGGCCTTGTCCTGGCTGCACCTGCGGTGTGTTTCTGACCTTCCCCTGTCCCTGACTCAAGGCTGAGCTCAGCCCCGTGGCTTTACCAGAAGGAGCCAGAAGGGGAGCAGACACAGGAGCCCTGCCCTTGGCTGGACTCTGGGGCCCCCTGGAATGGAGGAGGCCGGGGTCATCGGGGGCCAAGCGGGACTGACTCTGCGAACGACAAAGGACATGAGGCACCAGCTGCACACAACTCTGTTCCCAGAGCGAAGGCCAGAAGCCGGAGAGCCCAGGCCACCCGTATCCCCTGACCCATTCATTCCTGGGATGTCATATCCCGCCCCTCACTGTGCCCCCCTCGAAGGGACCTAGCGCAGGGTCTTGGGCCCGGACAGTCTGGAGACTGACCCCTTCCCCACCGTCCCCATCCCACTGCACCCCACCCCACAAGCAGCTGTATTCCTGAGAGCACAGTCCCTGCCCTGCTCGGCTGGCCTGACCTCAGACCCCAGCTGAGCCAGGGGGGAGGGGTGGTGGCCAAGCCATTTTCTGGGGTGAGGCTTGGCTCCGAGAGGGGCAGAGGAGAAGTCCTGCTTTTATGATTTCATGCCCCCATATTGCACATTGATCTTAGGGGTAGAGTGGAACCTCCATTTCTTATATACTTGCCAGGAAGGGGTGCTCTGGACGGGGTGTGTGTAGGGGGCTGCCCTGTCCTCCTCCACCGCAAAGCACTGTCTAATAGGCTGTTCCCTTCCCCGCCCAGGGTCAGTGAAGGAGGAGGGGTTTGTAGGCCTGGGGGTGGTGTGTGGGGCAGTTGCTGGTCACCATGTTCCCTGGGAGCTGAGCCTTGTGCCCCAAAACTGGGAAAGGGCTCCATGCCCTTGGTCCTGGGTTGGGAGACTGAGACGGACAGGATGGGACCTAGACCTCCTCCTCACTGTCATCCCTGAGCCCCCCCTCCTAGCAGTCCATGGGAGAGAGGAGGCCCAACCCCTTCCAGGGTGAGTCATCACGTGTGCGTGCATGTGGCTGTGTGGGTGTGCACGTGTGAGCATGTGTGGGCCCATCTGTTGTCTGTGTACCACTGTGGGTATATCTCTAGCAGGAGCGTGTGCAAATATGTATCTGCGTGTGCAGTTATCCATATGTGAGGCTGGGTCTAACCCCCGTCTCTTGTGAGTGCCTGCGTATGTCAGTATGTCCATCTTCATTTGTGACATGAATGTTTGTGGAGTGCTGGCCAAATATGCCACTTCAGCCCTATTCTGTAGTCTCAAGCTGCCTGCTACCACCTGAATTTCTACCTTTTATCCCCTACGGGTGACAAAGAGCTTACAGATGACCCTATGGAAATGAAGGCATCTTTGGTGGAGGTGTCACAGGGCTCCTCCTGGAGCATTTGGTGGGGACAGCTGCAGAGAAGGGAAACCAGAGTAAACGCTGCCCATCTCAGCTCTGCCAGGCTGGTGTTATCATCGTCACCAACAGCTGGTGGGTGGCCAGGCCAGGGCTGGAGTGGGGACTCCTGATACCCGACCAGCGTGGCTGCCTTCCCGGCCCAGCCAAGGCCTCTATCCGAAATGAGTGGCTCCGGGTTCCCAGAACGTGCTGCCATTTTTCTGCGGGTATTGTTCCTTAATTGTCCCATCTGTGCAGGGTCTGTTGTCCCAACTAGACTGTGAGCTCCTCCTCTGAGCCTTCCAACCCTCCCCTGACCCCATCCCACCCTCATGCCCAGCACAAGTGGGTCTGTTATGGAAATCTCTCAACGGGCTTTGCCTAGCGGAATGGATTATAGAAATCAGTGGTTCCCAGCAGAATAGAACCACCAGAGATTCTTTTAGAAAGCACCAATGCTTGGGGCCCGCTCCAGAGATTCCAGTTTAATTGGACTGGAGTGCAACCTGGCATCAGAAATGTTTGAAAGCTCCTCAGGAGAACCCTAGAGTAGGAACCACTGGCCTATCACCTGCCAGGTGCTTCCCCCGTGCCCTGGCTGGCGTGGGTGCTGGAGATCAGAGCGCTTCCTCCTTGGGGCTCCATGGTGCCCCGTGCCTACTGCCCTCAGATGACCTTTGAATACATCTGTCCCCTGCTCTGGCTGCTCCATAATGGAGACCCTCTCTCCCTTGTTCACCTCCGCATCTGTAGAGCTGGATACAGAAAAGGGAGTCAGCATATGTCAGCTGAGCTGAAGCACATACACATGGCCTCTGAGTTCTGGTCTGTTTGGAGAGAGGGGACATGGTCATGTGGACAGAGAGTGCGGAGTGGGGGAGCACCAGGGAGCACTTCCAGAGGGAGGTCGGGGTGGGACCGGGGCAGCCCTGACTCCAGGGTGGCTTGACCTGGGCTAACAAAGTGCCCGAGGGAGCCGCTGAGATCCTTGGTCCTTGCGTGTGTCTGCGTGTGCCAGCAGGCCTGCAGCGGATGTGGGTGTCAGTGTGTGCTGACATTAACAGTGTGTGATGCGAGCACCTAGGGGGGTGCTAGCCTGTGTGTGTGTGTGTGTGGTGGGGGGTCCTGCAAGGAATGAGTGTCTTTGTGTGTCCCTGGGTGACTTGTGAGTCAGTGTTTGTGTGCCTGTGAGTCAGCACCTCTGTGTCAGCGTCACCTGTGCCATGCGTGTCTTTGTGTGCCAGTGGGTATCAGTGTCCATGTGTTGGTTGGTGGCCCATGAGGACCCCCAGCCCGGGGGAGACCAGTCTGGCTGGATCCAGTGCATCTCCCCAGTGGCAGTCTCACCCTCTGGGTCAGGGTGGCTGAGGCATTTTGTGGCCTTAAAACAGGGAGTCCAGGGTCAGCCCTCAGGGTGTTAGGGTCCTCTACCCCTGTCCCTTCCAGCTTGGTGTCTGGGGGACAAAGGGACTCCTGGGGCCAGGTGCTGTATAGGTAAGAGACAGGGAGCCTCAGCTTGGCTGTCCTGCCCCTGGAACCATAGACGGCCACCCGGGGTGCCGAGCTAAGCCTGCAGACCAAGCCCCCTGCTCCTGGGACGCTCCTTCCGCCTCTGCCCTCTCTGGGATAGCTCTGACTCTTCTTTCTCATTCACTTTGCCCTCTCCCTGTGCTCAGTGAAAGCCCCTGGCTCAGGCTGTCGGTGCTGGGATGGGGCATAGAGATCCCAACTTCTCATGGTAAGAATGAGAGTTAAGCCCAGAGAGGGGGAGGGACTTGCCCCAGGTCACACAGACAGTTAAGGTGGAGCCAGCCTTGGAAGCCAGGTACTACAGTCCTGGGGTTGTCACACCTCTGGCCACTGCTCATGCCAGGCAGCAAGGAGGAGCTTGGTCAAACATCCCTGTCTCTGGGTGCTGGTACAGATGTTACAGATGTTACTGGGCCCTGCACTGGGAGAGGTACTGTCTCCCTGCCCCCAATTCTGGCCCCGCATCCCAGGCCACGGCCCCTCCTGCCCCAGGTCAAGCCTGGGTGCCACATGGAGGCTGACACCCTTTGCCCACACTGGCTATGGCTGCTGCCCTCCCCCAGGCTCCCAGATGAAAGGGACTCTCTTTCCCCTCCCCTCTGTCTTCACATGAGCCTGGGCTGGGAATGAAGGTCAATGTGTCCTGGTGTCCTTATCCTGTTGACTTCCCCCTAAGGACCAGGGGAACCTGGGGGAGCAGGGCTAATCCTTGTGTTTTCCTCTCTCTGGACAGCTCAAGGGGGACGGGGGTATTTTCAGGGTCTGTCCTCAGGAATGGGGTGGGTGAACCTGCAATGGAGGATCCCTGTAGGGCCACTGGTTGAATTTCTGGGTTCAGGGGAGCCCTCCTCAATTCCAAAGGCAGGATAGCACCCCCTCTCTGTTGAGTCGGTGCTTCTGTGTGTGTGCGTGGATGAGAGGGTGTGTGTGTGTGTGAGAGAGAGGGCGCATGCCCGAGTAAGAGTGTGTGTGTGTGAGGGTGTGTGTTAGGGCAGAAGGACCACTCTTTCCTGGGGATCCCTTGACCCTTAGAGCTGGAAGGGACCTTAGAGACCATTTAATCCAGTGTCCCCACTGTACAGGTGAGAAAGCTGAGGTCCAGAGAGATGGCCCTTGCCCACCACCAGCCCCTCCCCTCATGTCACCTGCATTCATTTCCCAGGGGCACCCCTAGGAATGCCCTCCCTCCTGGCATCCCCCCACAGATGCTCACATAATCACCATCTCAGCACAACTCTGCTGGCCCCTCTGCACCCATGGCCTCCAAGCATCCTTCCTGCCCCAGGGTAGCCAGCTCACCAAGGCCTTTACCTCCAACCCAGGAGAAAGGGCAGGGGAAGGAGGGGACTGCTCCAGCCCTGCGGCCTCCAGACTTGGAAGAAAGCCAACCCCTCCGTGCCCAGGCCCACCCTACCACCAAGGTAAAAAGCACAACCGGAGACCCTCATTAACGGGTGAAAGGGACTGGGGTTGTTTTAGTCACATGACCCCATCCTCACCCCTTTGCCTTGCTCTCTGTCTCCGCCCCAGCCTCTGCCCCTTCTTTGTTCCCCTTTCCCCCCCACACCCCCCAGATGTAACCTCTAGTTGCGGACGCGGTTGTTTCAATCAATAAAGCTGCGGTGTTCTAGCGCTCCGGGTCAGGTGTTGTGTGTTGGCGGCAGGTGGGCTGGGCCTGGAGGGGGTATGGGTGAGAGCCTGGGGATTCCCCTCAGGCCCCTGGAGGGAGCCCTTCTTCCCTTCGGCCCCAACATCATGGCTCCTGCTCTGTGGCGTGGACAGTGGGGACCTGCAGCCTGGTGCCCAGCCCAACTAACTCCTAAATGCTGCCTTCGTGGAAGCTCCTGTTTAGTGGACACTAAGCTCATAATTGCACTGGGAAATGTATCCTTATGAGCACAATTAATGCTGTGAGGGAAATTGGTGCTCTGGAAAAAGGTAAGAGGAGGGTCTTATCTGGGTTGGGGCTCCAGGGAAGACTTCTCTGAAGAAGAGACATTTAGAAGATACCTAAAGAATGATTGGAGTTAGCCTTTGGGGGCAGAGGGAATCTTCCAAGCAGAGGAAACAGAGTATGCCCAGGCCAAGAGGGGTGAAAAAAACTTAGAAGGCTCAAGGAAGAGGAAGGAAGACAAAGAAGGAGGAATAAAATTGATCCACTACCTGTAAGAACTCTGCCCTTTCCCTTCTCAACACCCAGCCCCACCATCCCTCCTATACACTTGTACTGCCCACCCCCAACCCCCAATCTCTGTTTCTGTCCTGGCCCCATAAGCCCCACTCTGCACTCTACTTGGCCTCCCTTATTCACCACCAGTTAGCTGCCCACTTGCCCCCAAATCATTTTGTGCCAACCCTTCCCTTTTCCCAGACCTCTCAGAATGCTAAAATTTCAGAGCTGGGATGTCCTTAAAGTCACTTATTTCAATCATCTACTCCTATACTTTCCTTGGGAGAAACAGGCTTGCCAAGATCATGGGGACAGGCAGTGATGGGGAACGTTCACTTCCTTGTGAAGGTTTGTGACATGACCCCAAATCAAGGGCAGATGTGTCATGATATGAACTACCGGGAGATCAGGCAAAGAACAGGAAGAGACTTTATCGTGTTACTCGGTAGTAACAGGTAGGTAGAGCAGAGAGTTTCATTTCCTTGTTTCAGATGGGCAAACTGAGGGTCAGAAAGGTGACAAGACTGCAGGCTCCATGCCCCACCTTTGTCAGCTCACACCTTGGGTAACTTGTTGCTGCCACACCTGGGATTTCTCTTCTGGAGCTTGGAGCCCACCACTGCTTTGGGTTGGCTCATTGGGTACCAGGAAGAGAGACTCGACCTCACTCAAGTACAGGAGCATTACTGTGAGGCTCTATGTAGTGAGGGGGACAGACTTTCTCAGAAAGCCAAACACAAGAGCCATAACAGGGATGAATTTCTTAAACCAGCTGGGTATTCTGCATTCAAGGTAGTTTTAGGAGTTTATGGCTCCTCACCTGGCAGAGTAAAGATGGCCACAAATCTTTTGTTATCCTACCTATAGGGAACAGGACTCTAATTCCCTTCCCCTTGAATCTGTATTGGTCTTGGTGACTTGTTTGGCCCATAGAATGTGACATTCTGAGTTGAAGATGCCTTGCAGCTTCAGCTCAGGCCTCTTGGAATGTTCTTTCTGGGAGCCCTGAACCAGCATGTAGGACATCCAACTCCCCCAAGACTGACATGCTGGAGAGGCTGCGTGAAGGGCTCTAGTAGACCATCCCAGCTGAGTTCAGACCTCCAGCCGTCTCCTGCAAAGCACCGGACATGGGCATGAAGCTGCCTTACACCCTCCAGACCAGCCCATCCACAAGCTGAACACGTCTGTTGATGCCACAGGGAACAGAAGTATTGCCCAGCCCAGCTTGCCCAAATTCCTGACCCATGAAGTCATGGGGTAAAATAAAATAAGTGTTGTTTTAAGTCCCTGAGGTTAGCGATGGTTTGTTACAACAGCAATCGATAACCACCCTGGCGTGACTCAGCCACTTTCCAGCATTTGCTTCTTTTTACCCACGCAGTTCTCTCCTGACTCATAGTGTCTGCGCTTTCATGACTTCTGCTTTCCAGACATCTCCAGCTCTAAGTCTCCCTCACAACCTTCCAGTGACAGCTCCCAGCATTCACAGACTCAAGTTCTCGAGAGAAAGAGCCCACTCGACTGGCTCACCATTTTGTGCCCGGTCATACGTACATCCCTGGGAAACCTGTTGATAAGTTGCCCTTGGGTTAAGTGCCACCCCTGATCCAATCCACTGGGTTGGAGGAGGGGGTCATGAATATAAAACATGGCTGCCTGTGGGCCACTGCTTCAGAGAGACTGTGCGTGGACCCACTTCAGAAGGGCAAGGGGCTGGCAGGCACCATAAACGTACTTCCTTGGTTCTTCCCTCTCTTTCCCCCTCTAATGATGATCTATTCCCAGGGGCACAGTTATGCAGCGTGTGCACCATGAAGTTGATCCCATCCAAGGGTGGGTCTCAATGCAAATTGTACAGGTGGGTCAGGTAGCTTCCAGGAACGGAGTCTTGTGTTATGCACTTGTGGTGACTCAGATATTTTTATTTTCGTGTCTACAGATGAGGAAACTGAGGCTCAGAAAGATGCTATGTTTACCCAAGCTCATACAATTAGGAAGGGGAAGAACCTGGAGACGAATCTAGATTTTTGACTTTTTTTTTTTTTTGTGGTACGCAGGCCTCTCACTGCTGTGGCCTCTCCCGCTGCGGAGCACAGGCTCCGGACGCGCAGGATCAGCGGCCATGGCTCACGGGCCTAGCCGCTCTGCGGCGTGTGGGATCTTCCCGGACCGGGGCACAAACCCATGTCCCCTGCATCGGCAGGCGGACTCCCAACCACTGCGCCACCAGGGAAGCCCAAGATTTTTGACTTTTGGTGCAGTGTTTGTTTATGTCAGCCAGATCCTCTCCTCTTCCTCCCCTTTGGGATCATTCTGCTTTTCTCACCGGTTCATCCCCAGGAGCTGGGAGAAGCAGGGCCCTTTCCTGTGTGGCCCTTCACTTCAGATGGAAATTGTTCCCGGGCCTGATTTTCTATTTCTAGCTGCCTGACCTTTTTGCATATGTCCTTTGTGGAAAGCTACTATAATACCTTTTTAGAAAGAGGTTGGGTATAAATAAATCCAAGAAAAAAGTCAAAACTCTTCTTGAATTCACCCCAACCCCGCATGGAGGTATCCCTCCATACTGCTTCTTGAACTGCCTGCTCCCAAATTCACCTTTCCTGGGCATGGAGCCCTATCAGCACCCAGCAGGCCTGTGTGCTGTGAGGTCAACTTGGCAGGCCCCCCCCAAATGCAAATCCTACCACTCCATCCATCACCCTGTCTCTCTAGTAGTTCTGGTCTTTAAAAATACTTTGAGTTTCCCATTTCTCTGAGGCCTCATGAGGCCAGCCAGAGCTCGGCCGAATGGATTCAGCACTCTGCAAGGCCCCATTCCACCTACACATGCTGTCCTAAGTAGAGCCCCACTCTCAGTGTCCCCACCTCCCAGGACACCCACCAATTCACTCTCAACTGTGAGGTGGTGAGAAGTAGAGTAGAGCGTGAGTCAGAGAGGCTGCGAGTGCCAAATGTCCACGCAGTGAGCGTCGCTGCTGCCATTTAGAGATGTCTATAATGTATTGTTGAGAGAGAAAGGCAGACTAGAAAAGAGCATGCTTATTACTCTGGCATTTTTTATATAAAAATATCTGTGTGTACTTGTGTGTGTGTGTGTGCATTTTTTTTTTTAAGTCCAGAAGAATATTCACCAGGTTATCTGTTGTTCTCTCAGTGGTGAAATTTCAGATGCTTCTGACTCATATCTTTAGACTTTTCTGTATTGTCTGAATACTTTTACAAGAACATGTATTATTTTTAATAACCAGGAAAAAAAATCTATTTTCTCGAGAAAAGAAAAGCCAGAAGTCATCAAGGACTATAGATTATACATAAAGGTCACTTTCTGTTCTTAGCATTATTTTTATAACTACACATCACAAAGATTGGGAAAGGGCTTTGAACTTAGGCCTCGAAACCTTTTTCCTGCTGATGTATTCAAATAAAAACAGATAGTCGGAAAGAAAGGGAGAAGAATTGGCCTGCGTTGATCGGGAGTGAGGAGGTGGGATGTTAAGCCAGGTTTTGACTAAGAGAAATCCCAAGGAGAAAGAATAACACTGCTCGCAGCAACAAACACTAACATTTGAGGTATGCCCAAGCCCTGCGCATGTGTGAGTGTGTGAACGCGTGCATGGGTGTTGGCACGTGGGTGAGTGCGTGTGCATGCCCTCTTTTGGACGCCGTGGTGTTGGCAGCCCCCGTGCAGTGCTGGCATCTCCCTCCCTCTCATGAATGCAGGGCCATTTAATGAGGCTTCACTCCAGCCAAGGTGAGTGTGTGGACAAACACACCCACTGGGTGGGGGGGGGGCGGGGAGTGGGAGGGCTGGCCTGTGTGGCCTGGACAGGGCTTGGAGGGGATGGGCAAGAACTGCCTCTGGGCCCTTCCCAGACTCCTTCCCAACCCAGGTGACAGAAAGCCCCTTGGAAACTCTCAGACCCTTGACTAGAAGCATCCAGGCCTGTGCTGATCTCTGCCTCAAGACTGGAGTCAGAGAAGGTGTCCTGCTTCCACGGGAGAGAGGGAGAGAGAGGAGTTGAGGAGAGGTGGAGAGAGACAGAGATCGAGCCCAGGAAGTGGAAAGAGCACTGAGAGGATGGACAGGGATGCCTGGACCCAAATTTTGGCTTGTGACCTCCAGTAAGCCAGCCCCATCTGGGCCTCCGTTTCCCTGTAAATTGGGGGACAGGATGGGGAAGTTTAAACTTAAAGGGTCTTCCAGCTCTAGGATTGAATGAAGTGAGGGGGTGGGGTGTTCCTGAGAAAGGGGGCTCCCCCAAAGGGGTCAATGGGAACCCCAGCAACATAGCCCTGTTTCTGTTTGTGGGACTGAGCATCTTTCTATGTCCCCTTTCCCAGCACTGGGGACCCCTGTTACCCAGGCGCACCCCCAATCCCTGAACTGGGCCCCACCCCTGCCAAGGGGCAGGCCAGGGTCCTTGTGGGGCACTGGC